TTATCTGACCTTCTTTGGCCCAAGTGTTTTGTAAATACAATATTGACTTATCTACATTTGATGTCATTTCCTTGTAAATTTTCCCTGCTAGCCCTTGTTTTGACTTTTGCATCTCTTTGTATAATGTTTCTATTGGTTCCTCTAGCCAACATTTCTCTTTTTCCTTTATCTTTTTAACCTTACTATACAGGCCAGTTATTCTTAACCAATGTTGGTTGCCCACCTCTTCTATTATCTCCTGTATGGGTTTTAGATTGCCTCCTCTAAACATATCTTTCATCATATAATACCCTTTAGCTTTTAGCCATTCCCACCATTCGTTACCTGTTATATCCTTGTTTATAGATTTTAATGGTGCCCAGCTTGAAGTTTTTCTTAGCCATAACTCCTGCCACTTATTCCACGCTTCTAAGGCTGCATGTCTGGGACCTTTGGTTAGTTTGAGGTCTATTTTTGTGACTTTGCAACATACATGGGGTTTATATGCTCTTTTGAATGTGAAATATAGTTTGGCTGTATAGTTTGAGGTCTTGACCACACTTGTGTAAGGGATTCCCAAATGTACTTTAGCTTGGTTCAAGTAGTCCTTGATTATGTATGATCTCTGGAGATCCTTCCCACTTGAAAAACAGTGTGATTAAGCATGATGCATTTGAAATCACCTGTTCTTTTGAGTGGCCCCTGTGATTAAGGTATGTGCACCAGAATGCTTTGAGTCAGAAACACAAGCCTCTTCTGTTTACACTTTTTGTTAACATGCTAGAATGATATTAAAAATGCTTGGCCACCACCAGTGAGAGAAGTGGTGTTGTAGGAGGTGTGGAGACCCAGCTGACTACTGGAGATTTCCCAGAATGCCTTCTGACTGGGCAGACCAGGTCAAAAGTGGTGGAGAGAGTGATATAAAATGGGTGGAATCAGATGTTTAATAAGAGTGCTTGCTCTCAGGAGGGAGGGGCTCTTGATGCTGGTCCTTGGAAGAAGACAGACTATTCTCCGGCAATGTTCCCTCTAAGCTGTGGAGTCTTCTGAGCAAAAATTCTACTTTGTGAGCTAATGGCATTAAAGTTGTGAGTGAGCGATTTGACTACTGCATGAATTAGTTTGCTCTGGAGCTATCCCTGAGCTAAGACAAAAATATGTGAGTCGGAGGCTAAAAAACTGTGTGCTAGCTCACACTAACTCAGCTTAGAGGGAACACTAGCCAGGAGCCGTCTTTAACCATGTGGCTTGGCCCACTGGTTGCAGGGAGCCTGAGGTAATGGGATATCTTTAGAACCTTTGGCAACTTTCTAAGTTTGTATGTACCTAGAGGTTAAGATGCTGAGCTGCAGATTGGAAGGTCTGTAGTTCGGCCGTTCAAGACCCTAGTGCCACATGACAGAGTGAGCTCTCATCTCTGGCCCCATCACCTCCTAACCTAGCTGTTGCAAAAGCAAGACATTGCAAGTAGATAAATAGGTACCACTTTGATGGAAATGTAACAGCATTCTGTGCACCTTGGCATTTCGTTACGCCGGTCACATGACCATGGAGAAGTCTTCGGACAGGGCTGGCTCTTCGGCTTGGAAATGATGAGCACTGCCCCCTAGAGTCAGATTTGACTAGCTTTCGATCAAGGGAAACCTTTACCTTTACCTTACTTTGATTGTAGGTACAGGCTGTGGGGCTGCGGTGGCACCGGAAGGTCTGTAGCTCGGCAGTTCGAGACCCTAGTGCCGCATGATGGAGTGAGCTCCTGTCTCTGTCGCTAGTTCCTGGCAACCCAGCAGTTCGAGAGCAAGAAATAGCAAGTAGATAAATAGGTACCACTTCGGTGGAAAGGTAACAGCATTTCATGCGCCTTGGCGTTTAATCATGCCGGCCACATGACTGCTGTCTTCGGACAGGGCTTGGTCTTCAGCTTGGAAACAGAGATGAGCACTGCCCCCTAGACTAGCTTTTGAGCAAGGAAATCTTTACTTTTACTCTGATTGTAACATCTAGTTAGAGTAAGTTTTAGAACAAGGGAAAGGAGGATGTGTTTATTAACAACTTTTCTTTGTTTTTCTGTGTGCTGATCTGTTGTTGTGATACTGATAGTGGCTTAGCTAAATAGTATCATATGCAACTGTAACACAATTAACTGGGGTGGATGGGTTAAAGAGCACCAATAGATGAAAAGATGTAATTCTGGCTGGTCAAAGCCCTGTGATTTCTAAAACTGAGCAAACTCTAGTCCATATTTGTGAGGATTTAAGCCTATAATCTAAATTGTTACATACCTTGTTGGAGATAACCATTTTCTTCTAATAACTAATATTTCAATCCCATGTGGATTTACCTGGGACTATGTCCACTAAACTTTGTGGAACTTGCATCTGTGTAAGCAGTGCTCAGAGAAGTATGTGTGTTCTTGGCAAAGTAGATTGCCAATTAGAATCAGAAGGTTTGACACATCAGGTGGATGGATTTTTATGTATGGGTTCTTGAGTCTTGTAACTAAATTTCTTTTAGAAAGAGAATATTTCCACCTGAAGTTCTTTGCCTTCTGAAGGACATGACTATTGGTTCGCTGAGAATCCCCTGGGGTTTGTTTCATTTATAATATTGCTTGGGGCTGCATTCCATATCCTGTTGGAGTGACCTCTTTTTCGGTGCTGCAATGGCAGCTGCGCTACAAAGCTAGTTTTTTCCCCTCCCTGTACTCCTTAAGGGGCTGTCTTTAATTTGAACCACGACCCTTTTGTGTTTTCCAGGTCTGCAGAACACTCTCTGTGGCTAGCAGTCTTTCCTCTGTGCCTATTTGTTCACAGCCATTGAGTCAATGGAAAAATTTCAAATGATGGCATTTTTATTGTTTTGTCTTAAATCAGTAAATAATGCAGCAGCATCATGGTGCTGGCAGGGAAGAAAAGCATTTTCTATTGTCTCCTCAAAGTACCCTTTTAAGCTTTTCGTTTTTAATTTGCTTAAGTGAAACTGTTTACGAAACATTTCATATTGCACATGGCTGCTCCTTAACACCAGTTATCAAATGTTGAAGTGCTTCTTGAAAGGGATGGACACAAACTGCAAAAATGCAGTTTGATTCATGGTTTGTGGGCACAGCAAACCTCATTTAACGGGACTGCTGTCCCTTTAAATGGGGTTTTCAAAAAGCAGTGGAAACAGAGAGCAGCCTGTCCAGGGTCGGTCACTGCTTCAATAGAGGAAGCCCCCATCCATCGGCTGGCAATCCAGGAGGATGCTCTCCAGACCTCCCATCAGGAACTCAACCAGGAGGCTGGTGAAGGAGGAGGCCAATGGTGGAGAAGGAGCAGCCAGTCGAGGAGACGGCCATGGTGGCAGTAAAGCAGCCAGGCCCCCCCAGGAGCCCAGGGGAGGGGAGGGGGTATAGATAGGGAAGGTGGCTGCTCCAGCCTGGGGTCCACATAGCTTGGGCATCCCCCCTGGTCATCCCACTTCCTGCTGGGTCTGACTTTGCTGCCACTGGAAGATGCCCAGCCCATGTGGTCCCCGGGCTGGAGCAGCCACCTTCCCTGCCAGTGCCACCTCCCCTGCCCTGGGCTCCGGGGTGGGCCCCGCCACTGTATTGCTCCTGCAACCCTGCTGCCACTGTGCAGCTTGCTGCAGCTGTCTCCTCTGCTGACTGCCTCAGCTGGCCACCCTTCTCCACTACCGGCCTTCTCCTCCTCCACCAGCCTCTTGGGTGAGTTCCTGATGGGAGGGTGACATTCTTGGGGGATGGGGGGAGAGTGGGTGAGCCCCTGGGCTCTCCCAGATTGCTGGGTGATGGACAAGGGCTTGCCCTGTTGAAGCAGTACCCGACCCCGGATAGGCTGTTTCCCATTTCCTGGCTTTCTTCTGCAGTCCCTTTAAACTTTAAAGGGACTGCACAAGAAAGCCTGAAATAGCTGAGCGGTGGGGAGCACTCCCAGCTGCTCAGCTGTTTTTGTGGGTTTCTGCTGGAGCAGAAAGCTGGGGTTTAAAGGGAATTGGGAGTCCTTTTAAAGCTCTGCTTTCTGCTCTGGCCAGGAACTGGTATGAACCCCACAAACTGCTTTTAAAGTTCATGGAAGTCCATGACCATAGACCCGTCATGGACTTCAGTTCCTAAACCATGAACAGGGCAAAATCCATCACAAATTTCACTTCATGGTTTGGTTTGTGCCCATCCATTATTTCTTGCTTAATTGTTTTAACCATGTCTTCTAAGCAAGAAAGAATACTAAAGTGTGTCATGAATTTTTACAGTAAACATGTACAGTAAGCATTTTGCCCAGATATGTCTTGCAAATGCCATTTGGCAGGCATATAGAGTACCTTGTGGTAGTCTTGACTAAAGCCAATGGAGTTTGGTGAAGACAGCCCAAATGCAAATGCTACCATGAATTTAGCAATCGACATATCAAATGACAGAGCTTGCTGTTGCTCTTACCATTGCCTGTCCCAGTAAAAAAAAAAAAAATTCTATGGACTTTGCACTCCAGCCAAATAAAAAAGAAGTTTAGTATATTTACCTCATTTATACGCTACCGTTCTCCCCAGTGGGAACCCAAAATGGCTTAACTTACATCAGTCTCCACATCTGCAGTGCTGTGCAGTGGGTTAGGGTAAATGTGGCCCAAGGTCTCCAAACAGATCAGGGATTGAAATCTGGGTCTCTCAGACACTAGTCTGATTCTCTAACCACTACACGAAAGTGGCTCTCAAAACTAGTCATTTGAAGCAGTGGTGTGGAGAAAGAACAAAGAAATACAGCACAATGGTGCCAGCACAGCATAGGGGTAATAGAGCTGTACCTGAGTTACGAGTGCTGTAGTTAACTGACTCCCTAGACCTGTGAGGGAGAAGACATGGAGGAAGCAAACCTCTTCAGTTATTTTATGGCAAATATGACTAATGAAGTTTGGGCAACACATTTGTAAAAGATTCTATCTATGTAGCTTTTAAGTTGTACATTTGGAGTTCTGACTCTTAATTGCGCTGATACTTTTATCTCCTTTCTCTTGTCTTAGGGCTTGAGAAGGTCACCCAACTGTGCAAGACCGTATCTTCGTCCAAGGATAACACGCATCTGTCTCAGGGATTTGATTTTTTGTATGGAGCAAGAAAAGATGATGAAGCATTCTCTAGCCTTGTATCAAGCTCTTCTTAAGTAATGACTAGACTTATCTTTGCATTTAGTGGCCACCTGAAGGGTTTTACTAAAGAAAGTGCCATGAGGAATATTCATTGCACTGGAGAGAAAGGGCTTCTATTGCCTGGTATGTTTCAGTCTGCAGTGTTATTCCATGCATAGTGTGTCTTTTAAAGTTGTATTTGAGGAAGAATCTCAGACCGTAGATGGTCAATACACTCGTATGCTGCCTACTTGATGCATCTTTCCTAGATGAAGAAAAAAACCACTTGGGAGCAAGCAAAGGAAATGCCAGAGAAGGATCTTATAACCTGCTGCCTCTATGGCTTGTGGTCTTCATACAGTTAGGCAGATGTGTAACTAGTTATGTGTTGAGGTGAAGAATCTTTAAAAACAAGGTTGCCTAAGTGACTAGAGATGATATTAAGAAGCACTTAATATTGGCAGGAAATCCCCAAGTTTTCAGTATGATGCACTTGTTTCTGCATCTGTTTATGGATTTTCAAGCAGAGAGCTATCCTTGAAGGACAAGCAAGGTGAAAAGCACTCCCTGTTTTATATAACATGAAGGTTTATTTGATCTCCTCTGTCCTACAACACAGGACTGAGAACATATGTACTGATTAGCAGGGATTTGATAAACTGGTGACTTTAACAATATCTTTAACTGGCCTCTTTGTAGAAACAGAATCTACTGTGGAACTTACAGAAGAGCACAATATTGTTCAAGTAACTGAACTTTGGGCTCTGCTGGAGTCTAACGTTAGTCTGCCTGTTACCTGGTCTTAGATCACTAACAATGTACTTGAGGCAGTCATTTGTGGAGAGTTACCACACTTATTTTTTCCTCTTTTTTATACAAATCATACACTTTTGTATACTTAACATACTACTGCATCACATGGCTGTATGACAGTGGGTAGGAAAGACAGCAACTGAATGCTTTCATGGTTAAAGTCCTTTTTATTAATAAAGGGGGGGGCTGATAAAACTGCAAGATGGGGGTTATGGGTTTCCTGTATCTTCTAGACTGCCTGACTTCCTGAGACCAGGACTGCTGCACTATGTTGAAAGTTTCTAACCTAGTCATAGTTTTCCAGTTAGGAAAATGGCAAACTATGTTAGTTAAACAGTAAATTGTGTGTGTACAATATACGTATATATATATATATATGAGAAAAAGTAATGCCATTGATGATGAATCAGTAATGGCACTGGGCAAAAAATGTTTGTATAATAAATGCTTATCTTTACTTTTTTTGTAAAGTGCAGCATTTCTCCCTTGAAGATGTTTAACATTATTTTAAATACTGCATTAAAGTAACTATTTTATTAAAATTCATTGTGTGTTTACTCCACTGAATGCGAGAAATGGTGTCATGGAGCCATAGGTGTCTGTGCTCTGTTTTAATATTTTCCATTCATGCACAATGAGCCCTTCAGCGTGTAATTGAAATGTCTGAGTACTCTCACCCGTTAACTTGTAGCTTTTCTTCCTCTGAGCCTTTCATTAATTGTCGAGAGAAGCTATTGAATTAAAACTTTTTTACCATTGCTTCATCCTATTATCAAGCAAACCAGTAATTTCCTGCAGTGTGTTGGAGTGCCTTAGTGTGCCAGGAGATATTGTCCCCTGTAAGCTCAAAATACCTGTCCACAGAGGCTGCTGCCTGCTGCATCTCTGTATGATTCATTACTCTGGGTAATTCTTTCTATGGTGCTGCAGTAAATTAGGCCAAGCAATCATCCCTAATAAAGCAGAATGATCCGCTGTCAAAGGCTCATGTGAAAACATAGGCTGTAGTCTTCTACCTGACAAGGTTTTCTGTTACTGTTTTAGTTCAAGTAATTGAAGCAGGTGTGTGTTCACAACCTTGGAAAAGTGATATTAATTTTCCACTGATATTATTTGCACTTGGGATTCACCTGACATCCTCCCATGGTGGGAACGTTCTTCGTAAACATTTTGATTCTGAGACTGAGTGATGACTGACAAACCGATATTCAGATGGAGGCGGCCTATTTGTACCTTGCTTGCTACAGTTTAAGATGGTAACTTGCCTCCTGTGAATGTTACCTGTGGGTGATGGAATGACCGTTCAGGCTGTTGGTCTAACCGCAGACGTTTCCAAAATCTTTGCTGCTGGTTGACAAGGGTATGTGTGCCCTGTCTGCAGTCTTGGCTTTTGCTCCTGCTGTCAACACATGTCTGAGCTGTGAGTTTTAAAGGAAATGCTGTTTTGAACAATCTGTCATTGACTATAGATTCTTAGGTGTAAACTGACTAGCCATCTCAGGATGATAAAAAAAATGTGAATAAAACTAGGGATTCCTGAGCCCTCGGACAGCAGGTTTTAAGAAACAAGACTAGTTTTATCCAGTTAGTTGACTGTTTATTTCTAGAAAGGGTACTAAGTTGTTACGGGAGGGAAAGATGCTTTGTATATCATGCAGTCACTTATAAATCCATAAAACTGTAGTCTGTAGTTAAGGGGCTTGAATTATGGTAGCTATCTGTCTTATCTGCAAAATGTCTTGGTGTGTTACTTATTTGTTTTGTTCATAGTCTGCATTTCTGCCCAGTGGGGACCCAAAGCAGCATACATTGATTGCCTTCATTTTATCCTACCACCCTGCTAGGCTGAGAGAGTATGACTGGCCCAAGATTCTCCCAGCAAGCTTTCCAGCACAAAGTGAGGATATGAACCTGGGGCTTCCAGATGCTAGTTCATCACTCTAACCACTATACTACACTGGCTTTTGCCTACGCCTTAGAAATATATCTGGAAACGGGCATGGCTGAAGAGAAACTTTCTAATAAAAAGTCACGGAGCAAGCAGTACACTGCTATTACAGCTGGTAATGACTACTTCAAATTCTGAGTGGAAGCACTTTCTCATTCTTGTTAGTTCCACTCCAGAATATCCATGCAGGATGGAGTATGGGCTTCTAGCCTCCGGCTGCTTCTGAAAGGCCTGTTCTGGTAATGGCCTGCTGTAGCCCAACCCTGATTTAGCCAGTGTGGAGGCCTGACAATCCTCTTAAAAGCAAACCGCCTGCCTGCTACTAGAGTGAAAGGCTTTTGTGGCATCAATACTAAATATGAGGTGGGATTTAATTTTGGAAAATTGTTACTTAGTTTACTGACTTATGCAATCCATGTGTCAGCCAAGCCTCTGTGCTACCCAGGCTGCCATGGGGGGGGGGGACTGTGGAATGTGTATTTTCGTTTCTGCTGAGTCTCTGTTGTTTTGGTTATCTCTCTCTGTAAGCCGAGCCATATAACCTTGAGTGCCTGGTGTCTTCTTTCTCTTGGGGAAGCTGGCTCGATAGCTTGGTGGGTTTCTACCTGTAGTCTGATTGGCCCTGAGCCATCTCAGTCCCCCTTGAATTCTGTATATCTGTTAGTTTTGTGCGCTTTACCCTCAGTTCTAACACGAAACAGTTAAGATACCTGAATGCCATAAAGATCTCAATAAACTTTCTGTTCTCTGGAATGACTGCTGTTGAGAACTGATTGACTCAGATGGTACCTGAGAAACCTAGTGGGAAATTATACAATAAGACCAGAATTGTGCTACAAAATTGGTTATGCCTGTCCCAAAATATTAAGGCTTGTTTTTAATACACAAGCATAACTATGCAATTGGGCAAAGAGCTGCTTTTATTGACCTCAATATGAAGTTGCCAGCAGCTGGGCTTTGAGAAAGGTAGGGCTGAAATCTCTGCATGGCTGATAGTGCTGGAGTTCATTCCCAAGTGGGAGTTCGCTCTTGGCAACTGACACGGGTTTCCTGCAGAAGCCTAAGGCACTATAGAGCAACATCTGCTTCCTGTAGGATGCTGTAAAAAGAGTGGGGAATGCAGCCACTTTGCTAACGCAGGCCCTTTTCTTCCTGTGTCACAGATAAGACACAGCTGAGGTAAAGCTCTCTTGGCCCAGGTGCATATAAGCATAAATTCAGTCTGCTTGTTACTAAATGCCTCATCTACATCTGAGGAACACAAGGGGGTAATTATGTGAGCATAAGCTTCTATAGCTGCTCTTCATTAACTATTGTTATATTACTGCTGCCCTGCCCTTTCTCCAGGGAGCTCTAAGCTGTCTCTTATCTTCACAGCAACTCTGTAAAGTAGATTGGGCTGAGTGCAATTTGCCCAAGGGAGTCTCCAATGAATTTTAAAGCTGCACAAAGATTTGAGTCTGGACTGTTGACATCTAGACCAATTATTCTGGCCACTAGCTCTCACTTGGCTGCATTTGACTGTTCCAGACAGTTGTAGCAGTGAAATGACAAATGGTAAATGCAGAGGAGTAGAATCCGATTTCTATTCCATTTTCTCAAAGCCTAAATTAGCTTACAATCAAATTAGTGATATAATAGATTACTAAATGGGATTTGGAATGAAATGGAACACTTCTAAAATGCTACAGTAGACCCCTTCATATCTGGTGACACCATGAAGTTTGGGCAAGACCATCTTAAGTGGGATGATGTTTTCCATCGTACCTGGAAGCAGGACTTGTAGTAGCCCCAAAAATGTGAGGCTGAGTAGGTATGACTCCTTGTTTAATTTTTGGAAGGGTTGAAAAATACTTTTCTGGGATTTTGATTTTTCTAGTCAGGCAGCTTCTGTTTGTGTAGCAGGCAGGAAGATTTGTTCAGTTTAATCTCCGGTGGTTTAAAATGAGCTAGTCTAAGTTGCCACAAGACTCTTTTTTTCTTTTGCTGCACCAGACCAACATGACTGCTCCTCTGGAGTTATGTACTCCGTCCTATGAAAACACAGCTAGAGGTGCTAAGAACGTGTTAAGTCACTGCATGTTGATACTGGCTTGGAGAAAGCAACAGCTGTTGCTGCTTTATTTGATATGCAGGCTGCTGCAATGAAGCTGATAGCCTTTGAGGTGGGAGGCATAGTGGTCCAAGGATGTGGTGATGATGTCATCCTGGTCTCCTGTTAGTTTCCTTTAAGGAACTGGAATAACTTATGGGTATTGCTTGCTGGAGGAGAGTGAGG